TAGGCGAATTTTTTAGCCGTGGTAAAATTAATCAATTCATGCAAGAGCTAGGTTAATAAATATAACAATTAATTTAATTATAAATTATATTTTAATTACATATCTCTGAATGTTAAATTATATGTATGTGTGTATAATACATATATTATTGCGTATATATATATACCAATATATGTGAGTATAAACTTAGTATTATAGATAACTTTTATGTTTTGTAAATATCAAATTTGTGAAAACTATTTATATTATTATTAAATAAAACATAAATTCTTTCTCTTTTTCCTCTATATTTTTCAAATATGATAATTAAAATTTATCACTTTAAACAGTTGCAAAATATAATTTAAACTAAAAATTAATAATTATTTTTATTTGTCAATATTTTAACATTGGATATAAATTTATGCGCATTACATAATGTTGTTTGAAAATAAAGTTGAAATATAGCATACTTGTTAAGTCAAACCTGATTGGGCATAAAACATAAAACGAATAGTCTTTAATAAGAAATAACCTAAGCTATATTTTAAAACTTTGAAATTCAATTAAGGCTTGCTTACATAATAATAACTAAATAATTCGAGATGATGGTTGACATTTACTTTTTAAAAAAATATTATATTATAATTTGTATTATTAATTTTTTTTTTTAAAGTTATGCAGCATTTATAGTTGCCCCACTTTTGGCGTTGTTGAACAAGGTTGAATTCAGCGAAAAAACAAAAGTCATATCAAATTAGGTTTGACGTGAAGATATGGGCATTCCATGTATTTGTAGATTTTAAGTTTCTCTCATGTTTTCACACGGCGGGGGTTAGTTGCCGTCGGCAGGCGATTTCCTAATTAACGACAACTATTGTCCGTGTAAATCTTTGTCCGTTGACTCGTGGTCGGAATTTCTTGTAATTTACCTGTTTAACCATTACCCAAGTCTGCAGCTTCTTGTACTTCCGAGGTTTTTTAGAGTATCTCCAATAGTTGTAGATTTTTAGGAGTTTTTGCAGATATGATTAGGAAAGAGAATATTGGATAGATAAAAAGGGATACAAGAAAAAAAATTGAGAAAGTTATGCGCCCAACAGGCTTGTGGAGTACACGCGCCCGGCTGAGCGCCTCCGACTTTTGAATTTTAAGTCAAAATGGTTATCCGTTAGCTTTGACATTAAGTAGGTGTTAAAATGAAAGGTAAAACTGAAAACTCATGAATGTGACTCTTTTAAGCAGTTTGCGCACATATTTCTTCAAATTAGGGTTTCTCTCTCTTAAAAGTTAAATTTGCAATCAAAATGTGGTATAATCAACTATAATGCTAGAAATCTTTGCATTGGAAAGTTTGTGGATGACGTTGAATTGAAGATGAACATTTTTGGCCTTCTAGTTGATCATCCCACACTTTAATTGCAGTTTTAGGAGAGCAAAAACCAAATTTGAAGAAATATGTGTGCAGATTGCTAAAAGGAACCATAGATTGATTTAAATTTGAATGCAAAACCTGAATTTCCAATTTTGCCTTTCATTTTAACACCTACTTAACGCTAAAGTTAACGGAGGACCATTTTGACTTAATATTCAAAAATCAAAAGAGCACTTTAAATGCAAATGTGTAATTAAAAATCAAGGACCAATTAAAAAAAATATTATAGTCAGAGAACCATTTTAAAAATGAACTCTATTTTTGAAATATATTTCACCTCATATAATTGCGGCATGTCAACTTAGGGTGTGTTTGGAAACCTGGAAAATGAGTTCTGGAAATCATTTTCCAAGTTTTCACTGTTTGGATGTGCCTAGAAAATCAAGTCAACGGAAATTATTTTCCGTTGACTTTGGAAAATAGGCTTGTTTTGGAGGAAAATGACTTCCCATTTTTTTGAGGGGAAGTCATTTTCCAACTTTTACACCAACATCACACCATCATCAACACCATACCACCACCACCACCGCTGCTACGACCACCACCACACAATACCACCTCAATCACCGTCGCCGCCACCACCACCGAAATCACCGTCGTCGCCACCACCACCACTACCACCGTCGCCACCACCACCATACCACCGCAACCACCGTCGCCGCCACCACCACCACCACCATACCACCGCAACCACCGTCGCCGCCACCACCACCACCACTATACCACCGCAACCACCACCACGACCATACCACCGCCGCCACCACCACCACCATACCACCGCAACCACCGTCGCCGCCACCACCATCAACACTATACCACCGCAACCACCGTCGTCGCTACCACCACCACTACCGCCGCCGCCGCCGCCACCACCACCATACCACCGCAACCACCACCACATACCACTATTGCCGCCACCACCACCATACCACCGTTGCCGCCACCACCACCATACCACCGCAACCACCACCACCAACATCACACCACCGCCGCCACCACCACCACCATACCACCGCAACCACCGTCGCCGCCACCACCACCACCACTATACCACCGCAACCACCGTCGTCGCCACTACCACCACCGCCGCCGCCGCCACCACCATCATACCACCGCAACCACCGTCGTCGCCACCATTATTATTATTATTATTATTATTATTATTATTATTATTATTATTATTATTATTATTATTATTATTATATAACAAATAACACCACCACCACCATAATATTTTTGATATATTATTAGTTATTTTTTTATTATATTTAAAATTATTATTATATTATTATATATTATTATACATGTTGTAATATTCTAAATAAAATAATTAAAATGTTTAATTATACAATTCTACTCATTTTCCAGAAAATGAACCAAACACACAAAAATAGTTTTCCAGAATGCAACCAAACACTGGAAAGGAAAATATTTTCCGGAAAATGACTCATTTTCCAGAAAACATTTTCCAGAAGTCATTTTCCTCCTTTCCAAACGGACCTTTAGATGGAAATGAGTGCGAAATAAAAGTGGTGTCCCGTGCTGTGCATGCCTTTTGTGCTTACATCAATTTTCATGAAATTTCGTATTTAATTAGCTTTCTCATTTCTTTAATTAATTAATTAATTAATTAATTAATTAATAATAATAATAATAATAATATTATTATTATTATTATTATTATTATTATTATTATTATTATTATTATTATTATTATAACTGCCACAATTTTTTTTTTAACATATGAAGATTTGAGAATGAAGATATGACAATTTTTTTAGTCCTAGTACGGAATATAATATAAGTTTTGAATAGGGAAAATGACACTTTTTCCCCTGAGTTATATACTCATAGTCATTTTTCCCCCTCAATTATTTAGGTAAGCACATTAGCCCCCTCAATTATTCTAAAAGTGGTGGTTTTTCCCCCTAATATATTAAATTGACATTTCTACCCTTAAAGTAAACATTTTATTTATTTTACTTCTCCAACAAATTATCGCGTATACGTAGGGATGACCACGGTTCAGATCAAACTGAACCGGACACTATAGCAATTGAATTAAAAGTTTCTGGTTATAATTCAGATCTAGAACCTAATATTTGGATTTCAATTTATTAAAATTATGAATAAAAAAAATTGGATATTGAACCGTAAATCGGCGGTTCTGGATTCGGTTCGCGATTTTGAACCGTCTTTATTTTAAAATTTTATTTTTTATTTTAAATAGTCTAAATTCAACAATAAATGTATTTTATTTTTTCAGTTCGGTACATGAATCGTCCGTTCCGGTTCGCGATTTTAATAAACTCTAAATATCGAGTTTCGATTCTAAATTGTAATTGGAGTATTCCGGTTTGGTTGCTATAGTGTTTGTTTGGTTTGAACCAAATTATTGTCATAATTTGTTGGAGAAGGAAAATAAATGAAATATTTATTTTAAGGGTAAATATGTCCATTTAACATTTCAGGGGGAAAAACAACCACTTGAATAATTCAGGGGGAGAAAGTGCTATAAGTATATAACTTAGGGGGAAGAAGTGTCATTTTCCCTTTTGAATATATATAGATCATTTTACCTGAACAAATATTCACCTAGTTAATATGTAATGTTCAGATATCACAAAAGAATGGTCACGCAATTATTTATATTAATATATACAATTGTTGTTTTTTTCTACTAAAATTTGTAATTTCAATTTGTAGAATTATTTATAAAATTTTAAAAAATTATATATTTCAAATTATATAATACCGCGTAATATTTATAAAATTTTGACAAACAATAGTCTATCTTTTACCTTTAATAAAATGTTGACTTAATTTACCTTCGCTACACATATTACCTTATTTGGTTATGGATAGTGTTACTTATATATATATATATATATATATATATATATATATATATATATATATATATATATATATATATATAGGGATTTATATACTAAAATTAAGGTTTTATTTGAAAAAAAAAAAGTTCTTAACATTGTTTTGTTTGAGTTGGTCTTTGTGAATAATCAATATATGTAAGGAATTGTGAAATTTATCATAAGTTATATTATGATTTATGAAGTGTAGTTTTCCACAAAAAGTTTTTGTGTAAAATTTTATTTAGATATAGATATAAATACAATTGTTTGATTATAAAGTTTTTCATTAAAGAAGTAATTAATGTTAAATGTATTACAATTTATACAATTCTATGTAATTTTATTTAATTAATTTGTAGTATGTTAAGTTAGTCAACACTAGCAATTGGAAATAAACTATTAAGTGTATTCGATTGGTCAGTTAAGAGAAGATTGTTTGATCAATAAAGAAGAGGGAAGACTAAGAATCTAAATATAAAATTAAGACAAGAAATGAGACACTAAGTATGATTAATCCCACGCAATTAGTACACACCAAACACCTGATTTTTTTCCAGCACAAAACCAAACAGAATTTAATATATGATTTGAGCATTTGCCTTTTTTCCTTAATTAAACGTTGTTTAGCAATTAGCAGTAAACAAGATTTCAATTTCAAAGTGCTGATAGGTTATTGACTTTTTGGCACTGTTTATGAAGGGGTTTGGGGTTTGGCGCCACATGACATGAATGAATGCTATATCGTCACAGCCGGTGGTTGAACGGACGCATCAATCAAGACAAGGGCAAAATCGTCACACCACCGTTCTGCTTCGATGTTGTGTTATATAGTGGCGATTGAAAGTGAAAGCCTGAACGGAGACACACCCGTTGATCCTTTCGCCATTTTTGTTATAAATTCCAGTTTGACTCGTTTGTTCTACTCCCAAATTTCGTGTTTTTTTTTCTTTCTGCATGTTCCCTTTTTCGTGGTATTCGAGGACTAAGAAGGCGAACTGTGTTTCTAGTTCTCGTAATTTATGGAAAATTGAGGTAAGAAAAGTATGGGTTTTGGTTTCCGATGTTTGTAAGCGTTTGTTTATGAATGTTTTCCCCCTTTTTTTTATTGGACTCTGCTTAAATTGATCTTATTGGGAGTTGTTCTTCTGGGTTGGTTGTTGATTGGTGTATTGATGAAGAACACGTTTTCTCCTCGCATGGCGGCCTTTACAAGATCTGTGGAAGTGGGCTATGATTTAATTTTGCTTTTTTCTTTTCCCTTCTTGTTTTCTTTGTGATTTTATTTCTTTATTCTGAAATGGGAATTTCAGAAAGTTAAAAAAATTGAATCTTTTGTACGGAGTTTTTGTTTTGATATTTTTACATGTTTTCCTGATTTTATTTCCTTGTATTTGTTCTAGGATTTTAAGGTTTAAGGAATGATGGGAAGTTGTGGCGAAAGAAACGAGGATCAGTTCTTTGACACTGGTGATGAGATAAGTTCTTTGTCTGATTGTTTTTATACTAGTTCTGGTTCTTTAGGTTATGAATTCTGGGCGAAGAACTTAGAAAGTGTGAGTGAACGGCGAACTAGGCTTTTGAAATGGATGGGATTGAGTCCTGAATGGGAAGTAATGAATAGAGATGAATTGAATGATGAATGTTGTGATAAGTTCAAAGCTGGGGATGATAATAGGATTAGTGACAATGGTGAGGCCATGCTGGCAAACTCGGATTCCGAGGACCATTTCTTCTCGGGTCGATCTTCCCAATCAGACGAGAACGATTCTCTGGAGGAGAAAATTAGGAATCTGGACAATGGAACAGAGTTCATGGTTGATGAGTTGGGTCAGGATGGTACAGTTAGCCGGTTAGGCTCTTCATCGTTGGTTCAGCGATTATTGGGGAAAGATTCAGAGGGATTTCGAATTGTTGATACAATGAGAAAGAAAGTGAAAAGAAATTGGCTTCAGAAACTAAGTGCTGTGACAAAGGGGACTCGTTTGAAGTCCAAAGATTCCAATGTAAACACAGGCATTGCTATTCAAAAGGTTGTGGTCGATACGTGTAAAAAGCAGTCGAAAGAACTGTCTTCACTTTACAGTAGGCAAGAATTTCTCGCACATGAAGGTTCGGTTTTGACTATGAAGTTCAGTCCCGATGGCCAGTACTTAGCCAGTGCTGGAAAGGATGGAATTGTGCGTGTTTGGAGGGTGATTGAATCTGAATTTCCAAATAAACTAAACAATCAGGATATCGATCTTTCCTGTTTATATTTCTCACTAAATCATTTCTCGGGATTAGCCCCCCTTAACCTTGATAAGGAGAAGATGAAAAGAATGAGAAAATCGTCAGAATCAGCGTGTGTCATCCTCCCGCCAAAATCCTTCCAGATTCTAGAGAAGCCAGTACACGAGTTCTATGGACACGAGGGTGAAGTCCTAGCTCTTTCTTGGTCAAAAAATGGGGTTAGTATTCTCTATACGTTTGATCAAGAAAAAGTTTTTTTTTTGTTTTTTTTGTTTTTGTTTTTCACCTTACCTAATTCTTTAAATCGGCATTGTTTAGTATCTGCTATCATCCTCTGTTGATAAAACAGCTCGCCTGTGGCAAGTAGGACATGATCAATGTTTTGGCGTTTATTCACATAATAATTACGGTGAGCCCATTTCTATTCTATTTTGTGGGGTTTCTGAACTCTATACAATTTTCTGGCGTTTATTCACGTTATACTCTTGATGCAGTGACCTGCATAGAATTCAATCCCGTGGACAATAACTACTTTGTTAGCGGTTCAGTAGATGGAAAAGTTCGTCTTTGGGAGGTGCACCGCCAACGAGTTATTGATTGGACTGATGTGAAAGAAATAGTTACTGCAGTGTGCTATTCCCCCGATGGAAAGGTCTCACTAAAGGCATATTCTTTGAACAATTGGGTTTCTAACTGAAGATTATAGTAAATTTACGTTACCCTTTTAATTAACACAGGGTGGTGTTGTGGGCTTCATGGATGGCAGTTGCCGTTTTTATGATGTAGTAGGTACGTGAAATGGCGTAATTGTTGCTTATTTATGATCTGAGACTGTTCATATCATTTATGGTTGGCGTCTTGATTTAGGTAATTGCTTGCAAATGGGCTCTCGAGTATGCCTGCAAGGGAAGAAAAAGCTTCCTCACAATAGAATAGTCGGATTTCAGGTACTTTTTCTCGTTTATTCTCAAAGAAACTCTTTTTGTTGGATGTATGAACTAAACAAAACGTCATTAAATTTTCCAGTTCTGCCCAGATGACACAAGCAAAGTTATGGTTACTTCAGCTGATTCGCAGATTAGAATACTTAACGGCTCCAATATCATCTGCAAATTCAAAGGTGGGCATCTTTTCCTACTACTATAGTAATGTTAGTGAGACTGCACATTTATTATTTCCTATTTCTACAGGGGTCCGAAATTCTGCAGGCCTGGTTCCTGCAACGTTTACATCGGATGGAAAGCACGTTGTCTCGGTTACTGAAGATTCGAATGTGTGTATCTGGAACTATAACGAGCTGCAGACTAGTAAGACCGTACGATCCTATGAAAGTTTCTATTCCCACAACGCATCAGTGGTGGTACCTTGGTGTGGTGCAGGATCATCGGTGCCAGGAAGCATGTTATCGAGCGGGAAGGCGATATCAACCTCATCGTCATCGTGTTGTCAGTTCAAGGGATGTGCAACGTGGCCGGAGGAGAAACTCCCTAATTTGAGCCCATCCCCAGTATTGAAATCGGATTACAAGTTTCTGAAGAGTGCGTGGCAAAGCGCATTGGCTTCTTCTCCAAATTTATGGGGTCTCGTGGTTGTGACTGCCGGGTTGGATGGATACATCAGAACATTCCTTAACTACGGTTTACCAATTCGTTTTTGATTGAGATCATAACATTATTTTTATTCATTTAGCAGCCAAGGGGCATCCTCCATCTCAGATTCATCAGCATAGAGAATGTTATGATTTGTTGTTGTATATGATATTGAATTCTGTAAGTTCCAGCTGAAAGAACACCTATAATTTTGATACAATGAAATTCAATAAACTATATTTTGATCCATAAAGTCAATGGCCCTTTTTGGTAACAAATTGGCCAATAGGTCAATTTTGGCTTGTTTGACCATTATTACTTGTTTGGTTAATTAGCTTTTTGCAACTCTAAAAGGCTAAAATTTAAAAAGCTACTCCAAGCAACTTTTTCAATTGGCTTGTTGAGAAAAGGAATTATACTAAACAGCTATCAGCTAAAAGCTAATTTACCAAACACTTTTCTACAGCTATGTATCATTATTCTACTGGTTCATGGAGCACATTTTATGGCTTTAAGTCCAATTCTAATATGGGTCCATAGTATGAAGACAGTTTGAAGTTTCTAAATGTCTGTCAAAATGAAGATCAACGATGACAAATATGCAGCTGGGTGAAGAAAAGCCATTCAAAAAAATTATCAAAAAAGTGATTTAGTAACCTAGTTGGCTTAATGGGAAATTAAACCTAAACCATGAAAGTAAATCCCTCACATCTTCGCTATTAATTATAATGTTAAATTGAGATGAAATTAAACCTGACCTGTAACCTTTCATTTGAAATGATGATAGCGATGCCATCTAACCACAAAATACATACTTAAATTCCCCCTCTCAAGCAAGTTGAACAACTGCTTGGACTGTTAGGACTCTTGTGTTTGTAGTTGGCTAGGACTCTTTACTTATCTCCTTATATTGTTATTGTTCAGACTATTATTGAGTTACGTTGAATATACAATCCTCATCTGGTATCAGTATCCAGGGATTCTTATTTTCATGGCAACCTTGGGAGATAACAATGGCGGTTCTGTTCGCGATTCATCTGAACGGATTGTGTCCGAGGTTGCCCCCACTCCCGTTTATCCAAATACTAGCTTATCCTCCGCCCATCACTTCATGTCTATCAAGCTCACTGCCCACAATTATTTGTTTTGGCGTACTCAGATGCTGCCGTTCTTGGAAGGCCAAGGGTTGCTTGGTTTTGTTGATGGCACACTGCTATGCCCGATGCCTGCCGCTCCAGCGCTGCCGCCGTCCGTGCCGGTGGAGTCGACGGCGGACAGTGGCGTCCGGCCGTCTGATCTAGCTTCGCTGCAACAGCAATGGCGCCGGCAGGACAAAGCTGTGCTTTCTCTGTTGATTTCGTCTTTGTCCGACGAGATGCTACCCATGGCGATCGGTCGCTCCACGTCGCGGCTTCTATGGTCGGCGATCGAGCAGGAACTTGGCTCGGCGACGCGTTCCCGGGCTTTGAGGCTTCTCGGCGAGCTGCAGGGGCTGTCCCAGGGGGCGTCGTCCGTCTCCGATTACTTGAGTCGGGCGAGAGTTCTGGTTGAAGATTTGGCGCTGGCCGGCCGGGTTATTACGCTTGATGATCAGAATCTCTACGTTTTCCGTGGCTTACGGCCGGAGCTCCGTCCTCTTGTTGCTCCGCTGACGCGTGGCTCTCCAGTAACCTTAACTGAGCTTTCTGATTATCTAACTTCGCAGGAGTATATTTGTGCGCCGGGTGGTGGTGGTGATGCTGCCCCGACTGCTATGGCGGCGTCGCGTGGCCGAGGAGGCGGCCGGTCCTATCGTGGGAACTCGGGCAGTGGCGGTGGAGGCTCGGGCAGTGGCGGTTCGGGCGGTAGTAGCCGTGGCCGAGGTGGCCGGGGTCGTGGCCGTGGGCGGTCGGACGTCTGGTGTCAGATTTGCGAAAAGTTTGGGCACTCGGCACGGGCTTGTTTTCAGCGATATTCTGAGACCACGGATCCTCAGGCGCATATGATTGTTTCTGGTGGTGAGAACGGTGGTGTTGAGTCTCATCAATGGTTTCCTGACACGGGAGCCACGAATCATGCTACTCCCGACTCCTCTATGTTGACTTCTTCGGCTCGTTATGATGGTCCGGACACCTTACGTGTTGGTAATGGTGCAGGTATGACTATTTTTAGTGTTGGGTCTACTTCGATAACTTCTTCTTCTAGGTCGTTTAGTTTAAATGATGTTCTACACATTTCTGGTTTGTCATCTTCGTTGCTTTCTGTTCAGCGGTTTGCTAAAGATAACCGTGTCTTTTTTGAATTTCATCCTGACTGTTTTCTTGTGAAGGATCTCTTGACCAAGAAGGTGGTTTTTAAGGGGGGTACCTCCGGTGGCTTATATTCGTGGCCTGTGTCTTCGAGTCCGTCTGCTCTTGTTGCTGCGCGTGCGTCATCCTCTACTTGGCACAAGCGGCTTGGTCATCCACACACACGGGTGTTGCGTCAGATATTGCAGACATCCGGTGTTAGTTCGTTTAATTCTAGTGATTTTTCTCGTTTATGTTCTTCATGTCAGTTAGGGAAGTCTTCCCGTTTTTCTTTACCTCGTGTTGAGACTAAAAGTACTCGAGTATTATAACTTATATATACTGATATTTGGGGCCCAGCGCCTGTGTACTCTGTTAATGGTTTTCGCTATTTTGTTCTGTTCGTGGATGATTTTACGCGTTATGTGTGGTTTTATCCTATGCGTGCGAAAACGGACATTTATTCTATCTTTGAACGGTTTCGGTCACTAGTTGAGTGTTCATATTCCCACAAAATCGTGTCTATTCAGTCTGATCTAGGGGGAGAGTACAAAAAGCTCCACTCTACTTTTGAGTCGCTTGGTATTCGTCACAGGCAGTCCTGTGCGTATACGCATGAGCAGAATGGTCGGGTAGAACGCCGTCATCGGCATATAGTTGAAACTGGGTTGGCTTTGATGGCTCAGGCGTCTATTCCCTCTCGTTTTTGGGATTATGCGTTTGAGACTGCGGTTTACTTGATTAACAAGATGCCTACTCGTGTGTTGAACGATGAGTCTCCTCATTTTCGGCTGCATCGTTCACCTCCATCTTATTCTTTCTTGCGTGTTTTTGGCTGTATGTGTTTCCCTTTGTTACGTCCCTATAATCGTAATAAATTGGAATATCGTTCGGCTCCCTGTGTTTTCTTAGGTTATCCTGACTCTTTTCGAGGCTGTCGTTGTCTGAATCCTAACACTAATAAGGTCTTTATCTGTCGCCATGTGCGATTTGATGAGTCCGTGTTTCCTTTTGCTGGCTCTGTTTCTTCGCAGGTGGTTTCTCGGCCCCCGGCTGCTCCTTGGGGTGTTGCTCCGGTTATTTCTGTTTTTGTGCCTCCTCCTACTACTGAGGTGGTGGATAGTGATTTTGAGAAACAGGCTGTGGATTCGGAACCGGTACCGGTTGACTCAGTGTCTAGTGAGCAGACAGTTTCTGATCGTGGTCGGCCGGCTCGTGGTCGTCCTCGCCGTGGGGCTAAGGTGGTTGGTCCTCGTTCTCATGTTATGGCCACACGGAGCCAGGGTCCACAGGAGCATGTGGCGTTGGTGTCTGCTGTTGATCCACCTGAGCCCACGTGTTACTCCCAGGCAGTCAAGCATCCAGAGTGGCGTGAGGCCACGGATGCTGAGTTTAATGCTCTGCTTCAAAATCAGACCTGACAGCTTGTTCCCTATACCCCGGGAATGAATGTTGTGGGATGCAAGTAGGTATTCCGTGTCAAGAGGAATGCTGATGGGTCTATTGAGCGGCACAAGGCCCGGTTGGTTGCCAAGGGCTTTAATCAGGTTGCGGGCAAGGATTTCTTTGAGACGTTCAGTCCGGTTGTTAAGCCCACCACGGTTCGTCTTTTACTTTCTTTGGCCTATTCTCGTGATTGGTGTATTCGGCAGCTGGATGTGCATAACGCCTTCCTTAATGGGCGTTTGGCTGAGACGGTGTATATGCGTCAGCCTCCGGGATACGAGGACAAGTCAGTTCCTAATCATGTTTGTTTTCTGCAGCGCTCTTTGTATGGGCTTAAGAAGGCCCCGCGTGCATGGTTTACCCGGTTACATAACTTTCTTCTCTCTGTTGGCTTTGTTCCATCGAAGACTGATGTGTCTTTATTCATTTATTCTGATCATGGTGTGCAGCTTTATTTTCTGGTTTATGTCGATGACATTCTTGTCATGGGCTCGGATTCACGCCGGGTTGCTGGGCTAGTGGATCGACTTGCTCAGGAGTTTAAAATTCGAGATATGGGGCCTCCGTCTTTTTTCCTGGGGATTGAGACTGTCCCTATTTCTGACGGTGTTCTTTTGTCTCAGCGATGTTATGTTCAGGATATTCTCAAGCGTGCAGGGATGGTTGACTGTAAGCCGGTTTCTACTCCGATCTCAGTTGCTCGCTCTGAGGACGGTGATGTTGCTCCTTTCGCTGATCCTACGCACTATCGTGGACTAGCTGGTGCTTTGCAGTACTTAACAGTGACTCGTCCTGATTTGTCTTTTGCGGTCAACAGGCTATGTTAACGCATGCAGGCTCCTACTACTGCCGATTGGTCTATGATGAAGCGAGTGTTGCGTTATGTGAAAGGCACTCTTGGTATGGGGCTGTGTGTTCGAAAGTCTTTGTCTACCTCGCTGCATGCGTTTTCTGATTCGGATTGGGCTGGTAGTCCGGATGATAGGAAGTCCACCAGTGGTTTTGCGGTATTTTTGGGCTCTAATCTAATATCGTGGTCATGCCGGAAACAACGCACTGTGGCGCGTTCCTCTACTGAGGTAGAATATAAGGCCTTAGCTTATGTGGCAGCTGATGTGACATGGCTCGTTTCTCTACTTCGGGAAATCGGTTTCTCTCCAGCTTCTCCGCCTAGTCTATGGTGTGACAACTTGGGTGCTACGTACCTGTGTGCCAATCCGGTTTTCCATGCTCGGACTAAGCATGTGGAAATTGATTATCACTTTGTCAGAGACAAGGTCGCCAAAAAGGAAATTCAGGTTCACTTTATTTCCACGAAGGATCAGATTGCTGATATTTTTACCAAGCCACTTGCGTCTACTCGGTTCTCCTTTCTTCGTGACAAGCTCAATATTTCGACTGCTCCACCTTGAGCTTGAGGGGGAGTGTTAGGACTCTTGTGTTTGTAGTTGGCTAGGACTCTTTACTTATCTCCTTATATTGTTATTGTTCAGACTATTATTGAGTTACGTTGAATATACAATC